TTCTTTTCTTTTTCCTCCATCAGCTGCTGTAATCTTTCATGTTTATTTTCTCTTTCTACTTGTTTCTTTTCTTTTTCCTCCAACAACTGCTGTAATCTCTCTTCTTTTTTATTTTCTCGTTCTTCTTGTTTCTTTTCTTTTTCCTCCATCAGCTGCTGTAATCTTTCATGTTTATTTTCTCTTTCTACTTGTTTCTTTTCTTTTTCCTCCAACAACTGCTGTAATCTCTCTCTTCTTGTTTATTTTGCTGTTCGAGCTGCCACTGTTGCAGGTTTTCTTGCAACTGCTGTTGTCTCTCTTATTGTTTCTTTTGCTGTTCTTGTATTGCTGCCATCACATTTGCTAAGCTGTAGTTTGATTTGCCACCTCTTGTTTCCATCTTCTTCTTCTTTTTTTATTTTATTTTCAGTCCCACTCTCTGACACCAATTTGTTACGTCTGTGTTCGTTTGTTAATTTTTCGTAGAAATTCTTTCCGAGAAACTTCAGTGATACAAGTCTTTTCTTAAATAAAACTAGTTTATTCTTTCTCAATTCAACTTTGCAATACATTTAATTTCCACAGGTACTTTAACTTAAACACATGCTATAATTCACAATGATTTACACACTACTTATGGCTTGACTCGATAATCTATCTCCATCTTCCTGTCTGCTATTCAATTATCTGTGCTGTCACTTCTCGCCAGTCTTATATATACAAAATAGAGGGCGTTTGGCAAACACTCGAGCCTTCAGGAATGTTTGAGATACTCGTTACATGTTACCAGCATCACATGACTTCCGCTGTCATAACAATACTATTGTTGTATAGATTTGTTTAAATTAGTAGCATAATTTAACTATTAATAACTACTCTGCATGTAAATAGTACAGTACTTTACTATAATAAAACACAGATATGTTAGATATACACAACTATTTAAGTTAATGCAAGTGTTATGATTTAGATAGTTTAAGTGTAACGTGAGTATTAATTTTATTTATTTTTAGAAGCAATAGTTGATCGCAGGTTTGTTATGTAACTGTGTACGAATCATACATTGTGTAGTTCGATTGTTGTGAATTGGCACTTGTTGTATTATTGTGTCATGTTACTAGAACCTTCTGAGATTTTCTTGTTGTTTCGATTTAATATTATTGCATCATAATATATCATAGTATATAGAATGCTCTAGGCCTCAGTCAGGCTATAAATACTTGTTCAAGAGATAGTTAGATAAATCTAGACTGGGGGCTTGTGAGTATAATCTTTTTTTTGTTGTTGTTGTTGTTGTTTCGTATGGTATTCTTACACCTCCAAATTCTGTTGGAGGCGAGTATCCAGGAGTAGGACTAGCGTCCTAGTTCGGACACCAGGTGAGCATGTTTCAGTGTGATGGGGATTCGAACACGCGACCCTCAGATTGCGAGTCGAGCGCCCTAACCACCTGGCCATGCCGGGCCAGTATAGCCATAAAGAGCATATAGTGGCGGGTCTTAAAGTGAAATGATCAATGATTGTATTATAATAACAGAGCAGTAAAGAATAATTAGTCTTGTCAAATTGTGTTTTAAAGAACCAGTCTCTGTGGACTTTGACAAAAAAAGAGACAATTATTTGAAGCTCTAGGCACAACTGTGATATCCAACAGTGTAACGAACACTTGCATATATGTTTGACTTATTTTAATATATTGTTTTAAAACAAGTGGACTGTGTGTTGTTTGTTCATTGTTGAAATTTATCGCCAACAAGTCGCAGACACCTGCTGTAAAGAATTCCTGCCAATATATAAAATTCTGACAACATATTTATGTTAATTAATGTCGGCTCCCCATGCAGTGTTACAACAAAATGATGATTTTTTCACTTTTAATTTGATGTTTGTGGATTCTACGTGAACAGCCATGCAATTGTTTAAGCTATATTTCAAGCAAAATTGCTTCAAGATTTAATCTCGCAGCACTAATCTTTTATACATTTTCTGGGGGATGGCGTGCTTCAATTCCTTCAGTAGCATTAACATGCTTTACATGCTTGTTGTGCTTCACATAGTATGTATTGGCTTTTGATATTACAAATTAGAACACCCCTTCCAAACATTCTGCATACGGGCCTGAGGATTACAGGAATATTGCTATACTACAGGCTGACAGTAAAGTAGCTAATCTAGTGATGATTGTAGAGATAATATACTGCAGGCTGATAGAAACGTAGCTAATCTAGTGATGACTGTAGAGCTAATATACTTCAGCCTGATAGAAAAGTAGCTACTGTAGGTGGTGATTGTAAATCAAATATACTACAGAATGATAGTAATGTAACTATTCTACAGCATAGCTGTAAAGTAACTATACAAGCAAGATGACAGTAAAGTAGCTATTCTACGTGGTGACTGCAAAGCCACAATACTACAGAATGACACTAATGTAACTATATTACAGCATAATTGTAAAGTAATTATAGAAATAAGATGACAGCAAGTAGGCTGACAGTAAAGTATCTATACTACAGACAGACAGTAAAATGGCCATGCTAGAAGGTGACAGAAAATTATCTATGCTACAGGATGACACTAAAGTAGCCATACTACAAAATGATGGTAAAGTACCTATCCTACACGTTGACTATAAAGTAACTAACTATACTTCAGGATGACAGTAAAGTAGTTATAGTACAAGATGAGAGTAAAGTACAGTCTTGGCCAAAATGTTTTAATACTGTTCTATATTGATGTTATTGTTTACATGCATGAAGTAATTATAGAGTAAATGCCCAAGTAGTAACAAAGAAGGTAGCATATGATCGGACTGACGCATACAAGTTGTTATTCTGGTCTGTATAAGTTGTTTTGAGCATTTGTTTGTCAAAACACTCATCTGTTTTGTATAAAGAGTGTGCTTTTGGTATAATCTTTCTTGAAACAGACCATCGCTTTATTCAGACAATTTCTCTTTACTTGGTGGAGAGTTATGTATCGTCACATGCCAGAAGTTAAAGGGCATCAAATTATTCAACTGTCCAAAAATGGTATGAAGCAAATGGACATTTCCAGAACAGAGTACTGTAGCCAGGATCATAAAAAGTCATTGGACTACAGAAGAACAGTAAACAGGACACTGTCCAAACAATGCTATTTTGCAAGAAGGGATATCCGCAAATCAATATTAACTAGAATTCGCTGCCATCACCGTGATACTTGGGCAAGACAGCATGCCAACTTACAGTTAGGACACTGGCAACATGTCATATTTTCAGATGAGTCCTGTTTCCAACTTGTTAAAGCTGGTGGTAAAATTCGTCTTTGTTGTTTGCCAGGAGAACAAATGAGTGAAGACTGCCTTTCTCCCAAGGAATGCACAAGAGGTGTTGCAGTACATGTTTGGGCAGTTACTCATCATGGTGGAAAAACTGCTATTCATATCCTCCAGGGAAACGTCAGTGGCGCCTTCTACAAGCATCACGTGGAGACGATATTTCTGCCATATGCTAGGACAAGTTTTGGCAATAATTTTTTGTTCCAGGATAACAATGACCACAGTACACGTATTGTACAGGATTATCTCTACCAGTAGGACGTTACAAGATTACAATGGCCAGCAAAATCTTCATATTGTAATCCCATTAAGAACTGAGCCAGAAAAATTCTAACCACGACCCTAAACCAGCTGCTGTAGATGAGTTTCTAGTAGCAAGTTGTAATGAAATCACGGTGGATTACATCAATAACTTCATCGACAGCATGCCTCGTCGCCTTGTAGAGGTGATTAGACTATGAGGAGGATCAATTAAGTACTGAATATTTAATATGAACTGATATAAGGTTACATGCACTATTTATAATAACCATTTGTCATTATATATACATATATATATATATATATTTGGGTAATATTTTGTTGTGATATATGAATTACATCTCTTTCTTGTTTGCTCTTCTAATAAGTCGTTCATGGTGTCCATAGAACCTGTCTCATTATACAAATTATTACATATGTAAATTCTCAGTTTGACAGCTCTAAGTGTATTTGTATTCCATCTTAATAATAATTATATAATCTTAATAATAATGTAGCTATACTACAGGGTAACTGCAAAGTAGCTATACTAAAGGCTGACAGTAAATTCACCAGACTACAAGGTAACAGTAATGTATCTATTCTACAGGGTATCTGTAAAGTAAATATACTCTAGAATGAGAGAAAAGTATTTATAATACAGGGTAACTCTATAGTCCAGA